AGACTTCAATGTTAAGATAAAACCGTATTTAATTACAACCGCAAATAAATACTTAACAAGAACAAAGAAGTAAGTCAACTAAAGATAATTAACCATTTCAGTGAATACTTTGTTAGTAGCACGGCTCCGCTTAACATCTGGTAAATCCTAAATCAAAACACAAATCATCATTGCACAATAATTCACACTAATTCAACTGGATAGTTCCACTCAATAGTCACTCAATAATCATCACAGTCAGTAGCCTGACACCACTATTTATACACCTGGCAGAAAACATATAATCATAAGTCCAGAGTGTCACACTCAAACCTCAATGTTGGTAGTTTCTCATTTTCTTCCTATATCACACACACACACACATACATACATACATATATATATATATATCTGACTGAATAAATTTTCACTGTTACAGTGCACTTCTTGCCTCATTTGATTGTAATATATGGAAAAAATATTTGTGAATATGAAAGGATTATAATAAAAATAAGCAGACATAATGTATGCAATTTACTAAATCATACATGCCTAAAAGAGAATTTGCTGCCTAAATACACAATATATATGATAAAAATATAGTCAAGCTTTTATTGGTAAAAGTGCTCAATATCAGAGATAGAGCATATGTGAATATAAAACGTAGATGAGGTTAATTGGTACTAATTGTATCAGTAAAATTATTATCTCAAAAAATACTTTGGTCTAAAATATATATTCTAGCATTAAATAAACTGCAAAGGGTTGATAAGCTGTAAAAAACAAATCAATCAACCACATAGACACACAGAGAAAACCATGCACACAAGCAAGCACCCACACATAAACATTTATGTACACAGAAAGAGGGAAAAAGCATGCCTACACCTACAAACAAACTCACACACACACTGTAAAAGAGAAAAATGAATATATTATTATAACTAGATTATATTAAAAATTTAACTTCAGTATTAAAATATTCCTTTTAAAAGCTTTTTAGTTAATTTCACAAATTTCTTATTTACGATGTTTGTCCTGCCTGACATTATCTTGTTTAAAAACATGACAGATAATCTAAGAGAAGTTAATCAGCACTTAATATCTTGTTGGACAAAATTACAATCAACAGAAGTTTTTTTTTTTTTTTTTTTTTTTTGTTGGCTTTATTCTTTCTCTTCTACAACTTGCAAAAAAATAAAGAAATAAAAGAATAATTTTTAAATAATAAAATCAATAATAATTATCTCCACAAATTGCACATGTCAAGGTTTCAAACAACATTTCCAGATTACAAGGGAAAATGTTTCTCACACTGGTTCTTTTAATGTTTAGAAATCAATTCAAAACAAAAGCTACATGGAAAAAGAAATAAATAAAAACCCGCAATGTTGTTTCAAGATGACTCAGCTACTAACCGGAGCTCACATATACCGCCCCCAGAAACGCCCCCACCCCCCACCATGCTTTAAGTACGTGGTACACATATTTATGTAACCAACACAATGAAAACAGTTTAAAAAAAAAAAAAAAAAAACAAACTTTCAGATTCTAATACAAACAAAAAGAAAGAAAAAAAAAAAAAAAAAAACATTGTTTAGCAATAAAATGTATCACCCAGTGGTGTATTTCTTGAAATATAAGCCACAGTGCTAGTTTTTACTATAGAAACAGACTATATTATAGAAAATACAAACTGAATTTTAACTAGAATTTTATTATAGAAAATACAAATTGAATTTTAACTTGAATCAATGAAACCATGAAAAAAAAAAAAAAACAAATAGAAAAACCAAGCCGAAGGCCTCAGAAGAAAAAAAAAAAACAGCATTAAAAAATATGCTTCAGCAAGAAGGAAAAGTACTCAGATATATATATATATATATATATATATATATATATATATATGTGTGCACCTTTCATTGAATATGAGAGACAAGGTGTTTTATTTAGGTTTTTTATACAATTTCTCATGTGATCTAATATTTTCTTTTCAGATGATAAATTATATAAAAACTGTCCGGATTTTCTTTTTATCCAAGCACTTTGAGCCATTTTCAAGGATTAAATATTTTAACTGTTAAAAAGAAATAGTTTGTTGCATGTATGTATTTATATAGTCGTTTCATTTTTCAAAACTCAATCAATATATCTTGACACAATATCATTATAGGTCCTTACTTTCCATACGAACAATTATTTTTTATTTCAAGGGTGACTTTTGCTGGATTTCACAATTAATTTCAATTCTTCCCAAATTTATTTCCAAGGTATAAAAATTGTTAGCGTACAAAAAATTTGTTACAAAAAAAAAAAAAAAATCACATTAAAAAAGAAAAAAAAAAAAAAAAATCACCAAAAACAATCACAATAATGAAAACTTGGGAATCCAGAATTTCAGGATCCAACCCAGAATGTTTTTAACTTGCTCACAGAGTCAGCCTGATTCCCAAATGATATATATTGGGCTACGGACTCTACCAGTAAAGTTGAAAACCTAGACAATTTTATTTTGAAACACTGTAATTTGAGAACAGTCATTTCATTTTTATTTGGACATGAGCTATTGAAAATTAGAGTTGTGTCCTTTTAATTGTTTTTATCAGCAGAAGCCAAGATGGCAGAATCTGAAAACAATCACAGTGATGAAAACTTAGAAATTCAAAATTTCAGGGTTGCAGATCCAGATCCAGCCTGGAATGTTTTTAATTTGCTCACAGAGTCAGCCTGATTCTAAAATGGTATGATATGTTGGGGTACAGTCTCTCAGAGTAAAGTTGAAAAAGTATGACACACTGACATTCACATTTATTATATAAATTACTTCAAAGCTCCCAAGAAAATAAAATTTTGGTATTAAATGACCTATAAGGACTTAATATATCGTTAAACAAATAAAAAAAAAAATATGTGAATGTATCATTAATATTTTTATTATGATTAACATTCTGTGTAAATATGTGAATATAACAATGATATATATGTAAATGTATCATTAATATTTTTATAGTTAAATTTCTGCAGCATATTTAAATTATTATGATAAAAAAAAAAAAGAGTAAAAAAAATGAGTATACTTTTTATGATTTATTTATTAACACAAACAATTTATTAGAATTTTTAATAAAAACATAATTTCTTAAAAACCTTATATTTACTTAATTTTTTGTTTATTATAATTTAACATTTAATGAGAAATATGCACTTGACATTTTTTAGAATCTCTTTACAAGGTCAAAATTTTGAACAGGGATACACTTAAATCTTCTTCCGATGATTTTAGCCGTGATCGATTTTTGTTTTTAATATTTTTATTGCAGAAAAGCTTGCATTTTATATTATTTCATATATTATGTATACATTTTCTTATTATAACAACAATATACTCATATAATCAATTTAAAGGGTTTTAAATTTTTATATGTATATTTCTTGCACTTTGGACCACTTTCAAAAATAATTTAATTAATGGCATTTAAAAATTTTCACAGCACACCTCTGGTTGAAAATCATTGATTTAAGAGCTGCAAGAGATCCCTTCAATGAATTTAATTATCATCGACATCATCATCATCATTATCTCTTCATTCTGTCTTCATTTAAGCATCTTTATATCCATCATCATCTGTAGAATTGCTACAACAGTTATCATCATCATCATTATTATCATTATTATCCCCATCATCATTATTATCATCATCATCCTCATCATTATGATGTCTTCATGTCTTTAAAGTCTCTTCTCTGGACTCTACACGTCATCATATCTTATTACCACTTTTAAAATCTTTTATTTTTTTATTCATTTCGCCTGTTTTTTTTGTTTGTGTTTTAAATTCCTCCTGTCCACAAATACCCATCCTCCACATATTTAAAGTAGCCATCAACCTTTTCCCCCCACCCCACCTCACAAGCCCTTCATGTGTACAAAATCTTGCAAACCTTGACAAACAATTCCGCAGTCCTTAAGAGGAATTAATAAACACTGTTTTTGCGCCTAAAGTTTTCAGCAAAAAATTACAAAAAAAAAAAAAAAAAAAAAAAAACAACTCCTTTTTCCTGATTAATACCTGACAACCAAGCTATGTCGTTATCCACAAGATACAGAAAAGAAAGAGAATCTCTCAATTAGATGAATGACTATCAACATAACAGAAGACAAATCACTTAGTCATCTAACTTTTTAAATACAAGAGCCAGTAATAGAAGGAACTGAAACTACTCTCACTAACAAAAATGATCTCACAAACTTCTATTCACACCACAACAACAAAATAAAATCTGGGATAAGTATAAGTTTCTGCTTAAGAGCATTTAGAAGTTGTAGCCCTCAATATTTACATGAGGAATAGAAATTTCTTGCTGAATTTCTGGGATGGGGAGTTAACATTAATTATATTATTTACATGTGGACTATTTTTCTCGTCTTTGTTGCTGTTATCACAATGTTTCAGCCATCGTGCCTACCCCCAAATTATGAAAAGCCGTGCTTAGTCATCAACAGCATTGAAGGCCCACACAGATACAAATAGCCATCATAAATAACTTAATAAATTGAGCACACATAATATCCTCTACACACACACAAACTGTAAAAATAATCTCAAAAATATAAAACAAAAATTAATCCATTAATGCCTATGGTAAAATCTTGCATTAATTAAAAACATTGAAAACAATTGATTATTGGTTGATAAGAATCTGATATCAAAAGTTCATAAAAAGTCCAGTATTAATTATAGGTTCATAAAAAAAATCTGATATCAATTATAGGCTAAAAAGAAAAAAGAAAAAAGGAAAGGGAAAGAAAAGGAAAGGGAAAGAAAAAGAAAAGAAATTCAAAAAATGTAAGAACAAGAAATCTGTCTCTGAAGGAAAAAAAGGAAGGAGAAAGGGAAAGAAAAGAAAAAGGGAAAGAAAAAACTTCAAAAATGTTAAGAACAAGAAATTTGCCTCTGAAAGAAAAATGAAAAGGAAAAAGAAAAAAAGGAAAGAAAAAAATCAAAAATGTAAGAAGAAATCTACATCTGAAGGAAAAAAAGAAAAAGAAAGAAAGAAAAAAAAAGAAAGAAAGAAAAAGAAAGAAAAAGAAAGAAAGAAAGAAAAGAAAAAGAAAAAAAAGAAAGAAAAAAGAAAGAAAAAAAAAGAAAGAAAAAGAAGAAAAAAGAAAAAAGAAAGAAGAAGAAGAAAGAAAGAAGAAGAAGAAGAAGAAGAAGAAGAAGAAGAAAGAAGAAGAAGAAAGAAGAAGAAGAAGAAAGAAGAAGAAGAAGAAGAAGAAAGAAGAAGAAGAAGAAAGAAGAAGAAGAAGAAGAAGAAAGAAGAAGAAGAAGAAAGAAGAAAGAAAAAAGAAGAAAGAAAAAGAAAAAAGAAGAAAGAAAAAGAAAAAAGAAAGAAAAAAGAAGAAAAAGAAAGAAAAAGAAAAAAGAAGAAAGAAAAAGAAAAAAGAAAGAAAAAGTAAAAAGGAGAAAAAGAAAAAAGAAAGAAAAAGAAAAAAGAAGAGAAAAAGAAAAAAAGAAGAGAAAAAGAAGAAAGAAAAAGAAGAAAGAAAAAGAAAAAAAAGAAGAAAGAAAAAGAAGAAAAAAGAAGAAAGAAAAGAAGAAAAAAGAAGAAAGAAAAAGAAGAAAGAAATTTAAAAAATCTAAGAACAAGCAATTGATCTCTGAAGGAAAAAAGAAAAAGAAAAAAGAAAAGAAATTTTAAAAAAATCTAAGAACAAGCAATTGATCTCTGAAGGAAAAAAAAAAAAAAGAAAAAAAAAGTAAAAAAAAGTAAGAACAAGATATCTGCCTCCGATGTCACCATAGATATTTCAACAAGGTTTTGATGATTGTATTTCTCAGTTGAAAATGTTTTCCTGAAACTCAAACAAGAAACACACTTCACGTTTATGGTTGACCAGTGAACGTAATAATTACATCATTCTTTTGCCAAAGAAGGCCTCCTCCAAATAAAAAATACCCCCCCACCACCACTTCTGTAAAATCACACAAACCAGCAAAATTTGTTGTGCCTGTACCTCAAGTAGGGCCCAAATATTGATCCCCCCCCACGCCACTTCTATCACCAACAACAGCCACCAAACTAAACGTTTCATCCTACCTACATGCGACTCACCTGGAGAGAAATACGTGTTAATCGTTCTGACAGGCTGAAAGTTTAAAAGTTCCATGACACACTCTGGGTTATTGTGGTTACATGCCTCATGGAGGGGCGTCCATCCGTTGTTATCACTGGCATTGACATCAATTCCTGGAGAAAGAAGAGGTTAGACAGGTCAGAAAACAAAGACAATCGACAAAGCCTCAAATGAAACACAACACAAACAAACAACAGCATAGATCAGGAGTTGAAAGAAAAAAATGAAAGAAAATGCATTTCCCAGCAGAGGCGAACACACACATCCTCTTTTGTAGAGGAAGTCACTGTTCAATCCAACGAGGAATGTTGCTGCACAAAACATTCTGTTTTCCTTTATGTAATATACAAATCCATTAATTCTTGAGGAATTCGTTTGCTTACACTTTGAATACAAAACTAAGCATATATGAAGCTTTCAAGAAAATAATCTGAGTGAAGCGAATGGGCTCTCCTTAAAAAGCGAAAATAGAGCCTTGCTTCAGTATCTGTCTATATTTCTGATATGAGGTATTATGTACACTATTTACATTATTCGGACTATTGTCCTCATCTTTGTCACCGTATTTATCACAGCATTTTGGCCTTTCAGTATCTGTCTATATTTCTGAGATGAGGTATTATGTGCACTATTTACATTATTCGGACTATTGTCCTCGTCTTTGTCGCCATATTTATCACAGCATTTCAGCTGTTGTACGCTACAGTCTTCTTCAGGTGGTTGGACACATGGCACAGTCGATAAAGGTGTTGGTTAGGTCCAGTGACAGGACCCAAAAAGTTGTGAGTTCAATAACTGGTTAAGGCAGTGGAGAACTTGGAGAGGTGAATTAACAAGAGATAATGGATAACTGACATCCATTAGACATGACACGTGAAACTAGAACAGTCTACCCCAATAAAGGGTTCAGTTTGACATTCCAACCACCTGAAGAAGGGCGGAGTGTACAACGGCCAAAACGTTGTGATAAATATGGCAACAAAGATGAGGACAATAGTCCTAATAATGTAAATAGAGCCTTAGGCTGTAAGGTTCTTCATGGCCAAGTGCTAAAGCACACTGGAACAAACAGTGGTTTCCCCCTCTACAAAGCAGGAGGATGCATTTTCCTTACTGAGCTTTCTTGAATGCCCAGGCTGATAGAAGTAACACACTATTTAATAAATAAAAGTTGGGCATTTATTTCAAATCTGAAGTATCCACTACAATAACGTTTGAAGTAATAAAAATGTCAGATAAAAAATAACTCCATTGATTCTTTAGAAATATATATACACTACAGTTCAAAAGTTTGAAGACACCCCCAGAATTAGCATGGGTTGAACTTGACAGAAGAGTGAAGAAAAAAGATAAGTAAATAAATATAAAAGAGCTCTTAGAGTCATTGAAAAAAAGAATGGAATCAATTATCAAACTTATACTTTGAGAAACTGTTGCAGTGAATGCCAAAAATTTATGCTGCAGTAATCAAGGCCTAAGGAGGATATTTTGACAAGAGCAAAATTTATATATATATATATATATATATATATATATATATATAATTATTTATTTAAAAATATGATTCCAACTTGCGACATAAAAGGTCTCATGTTTCAAAACAAGAGCCGAAAAATTCAATATAATTATTTGAATTAAAATTGAGTTAAAGTAAGCTCTGTTCCATCATCAAGCAAAATTTTTATTGGAATAACGTATTTCTGAAATTTATGTGTTTTAAAAATTGAAATCAAAATTTCCATGGTAACAGCTAGGGCGAATTGTTTAAATTGGGTAGGCGAGTGTTGGGTGTTAATAATAAGTATCAGTATAGAGTTACTTTCATAGATGTCAAGTCAGAGAAAGGTGGGGGTGTCTAAATTTGAAACGGAAGATGTATTAACCCTAGTCTGGTATGCGTGTCTATGGAGATTTATTTATTTTTTTTATTTTATTTTTTTATGAAAGGGATTTGTGCATATTAAAAAAAAATTTGCGTAACGTTTGTTTTTTGACGACTTCATAAAGGGTTATCTTTTTTGTAGGGTATTTAAACTATTTATTTGGGCTATGGATTATAAAAGTTATTATATTGTATGCTTGTTTTTAGCTAATTATTCAAACCATGAATCTGATGATGTCGACAAAAAAACCATTAACTCATGTCTATTGTTTAATAGATTATTATTATTTAGAAGCTTAATAATGTGCAATTTCTCATGGAGGCACAAAGGACATGGGTCATCCCAAGTTTCACATGTTCTAGCCCTGTTTATAATTTTCCATTTAACTTTAGGTGTTCTATTTGTTTCCTTCAGATGCCAAAAATATTTAGATAGGGAAGTCTAGAAATATATATATATATATATATAATTTTATAATTTTAAACTTAATATACATTAAATTTAAAATTGGTAATTTTGAATTTTATAGTATAATATTTATTTGTTAGAATGAATTCAATTTTAGTGTAACCCTAACATTAAAGCATTAAATAATTATTATAACTTTATTATTATCTTTAAATAATTATTATAACTTTATTATTATCTTTAAAGTTGTTGTCATGTTTCTTGAATTCTCATATACTTGTATTTTGATTGGTCATTCCAGCTTATGTAACTGCATTTCCCCTAGCGAGGGATGTTTGATTGATTTGAACCTTTTAAAATCCTTTATTATACATTCAACATCATCACTTGATAAGACACCTGAAGTTTTGAAACAAAATGGCTATTTTTGTAGTGATTTTAGAACATTTTTATAAAAAAATAAATAAATATATATATATATATATATATATATATATATATATATATATATATATATATATATATATATATGTGTGTATGTATGTGTATGTATGTATATATATATATATATATATAACCACAAATTAATGTCATAATGGTAATATTCAGGTTTAATTCTATAAAACTTCTTCCCTTTAAGACAGATCCCTGTTTTGTGCCTTTCATTTGAGTGAAACATTAAAATGGATAAATTCTGTATTAGTTTTTCAACTGTTTTTTTTTTTTTTTTTAAAGCTTTCACAGTTAAATTTCTATTTCTGACACAAATTCAGTCCACACTGGGGTTGATAAGACAGACAACTGATATCTTTGTCTGCCAAATGAAGTAATTTTGGATTTTATTGTTTATTATTTGCTCTGTAATAATAAATATATTGAGCTCTTTTGGGAGATCAGTTTTAATAATTCTTATTACTAGGATCCACTTGGATTATATACCAACAGATTTATTACCTTTACTAAACATACATTATATATTATGAAATGGACAAAGTCCGACAATTATTTTAAGACATTTTCATGTTTATATGTTCTTTTTATACATTCAAATATTTAAGTAAATACTCTATTTATAATAAACTGTATTAACGACATTTACTGGCCTGAATGTCCGTGAAATTGTCATAAAATTTCATAAACATAAAAAAAAACGTCTTAAAATAATTGTCAGACTTTGACCATTTCATAATGTGTGACGTCATTTGTTTACATTTGGATACGCATCGAGCAGATATGAATGTACGAGAGAAAATCATAGAGAATTGTAGTTTAAAAACAGTAAAATCAACCTTGCTAACCGAAATGCTCCACTGTGGTTAAATCGGTAAAAGCATGTCAGGCTATATGACAGTTCCGTATAGGATACAGGTTCAATTCCTGTCAGAGGACACATATTTTCTATGAAAATGTCTTCGGCATTCAGGCCAGTAAATGTCAGTAATACTGTTTATTACTGGTTTGATTTTGTCAACTGCACAGTATAGTAGGGTCAGTTGGGCACCATCTGTGAGAAAAAGAACACCATGACTAAATTAAATCCACCAGAAATTTGAAAATGGCATGCTGTACTGCTTGCCACTCATACCGGAATCTCCAATATGAACATTTCAGAGTGTTTGAGGGTCAACGTGAGGACAGTGCAGAGGATTCAGAAAGGGTTGGACAAGTCTCACAAATTTGTTGGTCAGGGCTTCAGACTCAACACAGAGGGCCTATATCAAGTGCCTTGGGGAAGTAGTGCTGCTCCAGGTCAGCAGGATGGCTGCTGGAAGACCCCATGTCTGGCAGCAGGACTCTGCATCATGCCACACAAGCAGGAGAACCCCGTCATGGCTATCAGACAATTTCTGTGACATCACATCACCCCTTACATCTAACCACCTGGCTCCCCAGACTGCAACCTCCTTGATTATTTTGTGCTGAATGAGAGACTAACAAAGCTCCTTGTAACACCAAAGATAAACCGGTCAAGGATTATGACAGCATTCACCAACTTAAACAAGGAGACCATCCAGAAGTGTTGCAGAAGATTCTGAAGTCGTCTGAAGGCCGTGGTTGAAGCCAATGGCAACTTTATTGAATAAATTTACTCTTTAGTATTTCAAGATATTTTTGTGCCATTTTGGTAAACATGTCTATTAAAATGTGATGTTAGTGTTATCTTCATTTTTACACAATTTAGATGACAATTTATCCATCTGTCAGTCAGTTATGTGCGATACACGCTTAGGCGATCATTTATCTTTCGATACATGACTGACGAGGCAGATTTTTTCACATAGTAGGTTACCATTTCTTTGTGCTGTAGACCAGGTGCCATCCAAGGCTCTAGAACCCGGATTGATTTAAAATATGTTTTTTTTTCGCTACACAGTTCTAACCATGTTTCAAAAATGGAAGCTTAAAAAAAAAAAAGCCCTGAATTTAATTTTGTGATTAAATTAAAGACATTAGTTCCATTTCATCCTAAAGCTTAATTTTGAGTAACTTTTAAAATTACCGGTTTTAAATACACAGCTAAAAACAAGATTCATGTTTCCAAGGTTACAGATAAATCTATTTTTCTAGACAGGGGTGTTTGGGTGTTCAATATGTCTATATTTTGATGTATCAATTATTGCTATGTATATTCGGGGCTTTTAGCTTCCATTTTTGAAACATGGTTAGAACTGTGTAGTGAAAAAAAAACCATATTTTAAATCAATTTATTATATATATATATATATATATATATATATGTGTGTGTGTGTGTGTGTGTCTGTGTGTGTTTGCAATATATTATTTATATATTATATGTGCGGTACTTATTGGAAAGCGCTCAATATCAGAGATAGAGCTAACAAACTCACATCAATCCAACTAAATAAATATATATATATATATATATATATATATATATATATATATATATGCTTACTTATATTTATGGAGGGTACATGTACAGAAAAATTTATTATATCAAATTTTTATAACAACATTTTTTACAATATCTGATTACATATCGCAGTAAATTATTTTTGATAACAGAAGAAAAACTAAAATAATCATGTTATCATAGGTCACCCAACATATTTTTATTTTTAATGCAAAAGTCGTGGATACTTTGATTTCCGCCATCAGATATTTAATTCATTGAGGTATATACAAATAGATATTTCAGAAAGACAAAACAAACACAACATAGAAAAATGCTATGTTATCATTTCCAAAATTCTAAAATAGGAGGTGGGGATTTGCCATGAAATTTCAGTAATTTAATGATGTAAATACTTTCTGCAAATAACTTGTTTGGTAGACATGCAAATTATTTTGGGTAATTAGACAATATACTAAGTTCTCTGGCAGGCTATTACTTTTATTTTGTTTTTAATAAAAATATTCACCGTCAAAATATTCACCGTCCAACTCTTCTAGATGTATGCAAATAGTTTTTTTTCGGGAAAGAGTAGGCAAAAACCACAGAGATAAATGTTATGTTATATTTAGGAAATTCTAATATTTTTGAGAAAAATAGGTTTTATATAATATCAAATATGGTGATTATTTTAGCTGGTAAGGGAAAACAGATGGGGGTTTTTTTTGTTGTTTTTTGGGTTTTTTCTGTTATTGATTTCGTAGTTAGGTAGAGTAGTTTGTCCAAATAATCTGTTAATTCACTTTAACCCTCATAATATGCCACTGACAAAACATTCTGCCGAGAGATTTGGGTCAGAGTGTGTTGATAGCATTCCCAAGGTTATTAGCGTGAAGTGAATATAAAACACCTCGACCGGAATCTGAATTTCATTTTCCATTCTGTTTCCTGCGCCAATAACAGTTACACTAGCAATGCATCAGGAATTTCCTTATGTTGGTCAGGCACCTGATACAAAAATAAAACACAATATACTTTTTTTTTTTTTCTTCTCCTTTACTGAAAATTTTTACAGAAGATTCCGCCAACAAACCTGTTCATATTGCCCAATTTGGAAGTGGCGACACTCCCAGGCTTGAGGTCAGGGCATTTTGGCATCCATTGCAGCAATCTCCCACAAGGGATTACAAAGTGCAAAGAAAAAAGGTAGACAAGAAAAGGCAGGAGAATAAAGATCGTTTATTTTTACCTGGGATTTTGAGAAGCTCCCGGACTTTATCGACACTGTTCCTCATACAGGCAAGGTGTAGCAGAGTTTCCCCTACAAAGACAAGAAAACAGAAAAAACATCACCTGACATTCATCAGAAAACAAAAACTTATCTATTTTTGTATGTATATCTGTGTGTGTGTATATATATATATATATATATATATATAAAAGTGATAAGTATTATTACCATTTTTAATATATAACCATTATTATTTATTTACTTCTTATTTATTTACATATTTATATGTTCCTATTTATACGGCTTTTATTTTATGTTATTTTATTTTCATTGATATGTATTATTTTCATTAGTACATTAATTTTTACTTTATCACTGCATAATATTATTAATGTCGCTACTTTTAAGTATATCAATATTAATATTAATAATATTATTACTTTATTGATTTTCAACAAAAAATAGAGTTACCCCCCTTGATTTTCAAATTATTTTTTTTTTCTTTTTTATAACAGCATCTGTTTTTAAATTAGAATTTATAATTCTTATTTTCAATCTTAAATGTTAATCTGGGCCTAAATTCAACTCCAAAATTAAACTACAGTACATTTAAATAATTAACAACAATAATAATCCACTCTATCAATATCTCATGATAACCAGAAATATTAAAAAGAAAAAAAAAACCCAGAGTTAACCCCGCAAAATCCACACATGGATATTGCAAAAGGCATGAGTTATGCAATCAATGTAGAGTATTATGTATATTCTTCAATAAATAAATAAATATATATATATATAATTTTTTTTTTAAACATAATATTATTAAATATAAGACAATGAATGTCTATTATGTCTGATCATGAGCTGTTCGAATGTTTGCTTTAATTTATGGTGAAAATAAAGACAAAAATTGTCCAACATTTGGATATTTTTTATCAAGTTGGTCCTAAGCTTATATATATATATATATATATATATATATGTTATATTTAGGAAATTCTAATATTTTTGAGAAAAATAGGTGATTATTTTAGCTATATATATATATATATATATATATATATATATATATATATATGTGTGTGTGTGTATTAGTTTTATGGTATGCTATATTTTAAGAGTTAAAGTGCTCAATATCAATGATAGAGCACATGTAAATATAAAATATACATTGGCTTGACTATTTATATCTGCTGAACAATGTTGCAATATTGGTAGCAATGTCTATTGGGTAGATGGTAACAGTTATACTTCAAAGAGAGGCTATTAAGTAGCATGGCAGTTGTGGCTATTGTTTTGTGATGTCTGTTAACTTTTTACTCATTACTGATTACTTAATTATTTCTTGTTGATTATTATTATAATATTCACGTGCGTTTATGTGTGCATTTGTAATTTGTTAATTTGTTTAATATTTACTTTATTTTTTTTGTTTGTTTATTTGTTATATTATAGTTTTTTCTGGGGATTGGTTATCTTATTCATTTAGCTGTTGGCTTTGTCTAAAGTATGTTACATTATATGCGTTGTATATTTGCCTCATACCTTTATGATTCTTTTTATTGATATTCATGATTTGCCGTCTCGTTAAAGACGACTTCCCAACCGGAGACAGGTCAGGAGGTGATACGTGGTTAGGCTGGTTTCTTGATTTCAGTGGTGTGCTGGTCAGATTGTTGCCACACGTGCTCATTTGTTCATTCGTGGTGCTGATTGGACTGAAATTAAAATGGGAGTTACAATAAAAAAAAAAAAAAATTAATAAAAGGAAAGAGAGATAATGGAATATCCATTGAACACCAGCAGTGCAGGAGTGTTTCTTTTCTATTGACAGATTCATGGAGAAGGGGAGAGAAGAAAATAGCACAAGCCTTCATTTTCAAGGTCTTCATGTAAGAAAAGACTACTTGGGAAAAGATATTCCTCTTCTATCTTGCTATTCTCCTCTCTTCAACTGTTACTTCTGCATACACAATTTGCAAAGTACTGGCTGCAGAAAGAAAATAAAGTTACATGTGGCTAATACTGGTCATGTAAAATATACTGAAATTTGGTTCAAACTTTCATCTCAGCCTTCAAGAATAAACAGTCTATACGCTTCGCAATTCAGATCAGTATCTCATTTTGGTTGTTATACCAACAATGTTTTTGACTGTTGTACCTTCTGACCTTTTTCAGGGGTCTGTCTTCATACTCAATCTACAGGAGTAAATTGTTCTCATTCCACATTTCATGCTTCGGAGATATTTCATAATAATCACTGGTTTTATTTTTTATTTGCCATCTAGTCACAAGTCAATGCTATTTTACAGTTAACAATTTTTATAAAAAAAAAAAAATTGGATTAGTAAGAGGATCACTTCAAAGTGAGATGCTGGCACGTATTTTCTTAGAATTTCTTGAATCTGGTCCTTTCCAAAATATTTTACCTACGCAATAAACATACTTTCAATATAGTGATGATGCTCTGTTAATATATCCTTGTGGGACTGATTTACCTGACAGTGTAGATAAACGAAACAAAATCAAATATATAACAGAATTGACTTATGAAATACAAACAAACAACAATACTTTACCTTTCCTAGATACCATGTTAAACCACATTAACAACAGCCTAAAACTTAGTGTCTATGGCAAATGAACTAATAAAAATGATCTCATAAATTTCTATTCTCACCATAACACCAACATAAAATCTAAAATAATCATCAGATTCTATTTAAGATCATTCAGAATTTGTAGTCCTCAGTATATACATGAAGAGGAGAAATACACTGAAAAAAACTCTCAAGCTCCTGCAATACCTATACATTTCATATTCAATACGAAAGAAAAGGCTCATAAAATATTTCAAAATTGAAAAGTAGTCTTTCCTGACAAACCAAAATATATTATTCTACCCACTATCACGACTACAATTGAAAAGAATTTATCTAAACTCAACATAAAACTTGTTACAATTACTTCTAAAACAATAAAAGACTTAATACAAAACAAAATAATAAGCTAAAACCTGAGGGAGAAATTTACTCATAATTGCCACATGGAATACACAGATGAAACCTTGAGGAATTTAAATAAAAGATTATATGAACACAAAGGGAATCTTTTATGAAACAACACACTCGCTGCATTAGTCACTCACTGTAATGAGACTGCTCATAATTTTGATTTAAAAAATGTTACTCATTAAAACAGAAAGCAATTTACTAAGAGGAAGCAATTTACTAAGAGAAAAATGTTCAGAAATTGCGATAACTGCTAGATGATTCAAAGTAAATTTGCAGCAAGGTTCTTACAACATTTCATCTTTGTTGGCAGATCTTCAATTATCACAATGTAGTATATTTAATAACAACAATGATAAAAACATAAGCAAAAAGAAAAAGGAACTAAATGAAATTGACTGGACGATATACCCAAAACATTTTAAAAAAAAAAATTTTTTTAATTTTCAGCATTCTGTTTCCTTTGTGCACATGTGTTTTAGCCCGATGAAGTCCCTAAAGGTCAAAACACATCACACAAAAATTTTCCCCACTTTGTAAATATATATATATATATATATTTATGATAAAATGATGACATAGGAAAACTGGTAATTGCTGACGCTGTTTCGTCCAATGTGGATTTTTTATCGCCAAAATACCTAAATTCATTTTGCTTTTGAAAGTCCAATAAACGCGGGCCAGCAATTACCAGTTTTCCTATTGTCATTTTTATTCATAAATATTGTCTTCTCTACCGATTAAATCGGAGAAATTTTCATATATATATATATATATATATATATATATATATATATATATATATATGTGTGTGTGTGTGTGTGTCCTGAACTGGCCCCTGTTGTCTCAAAACTACACAACTACTGCCTCAACAATTCCTGCTTTCCATCCTGTTGTTTTCATTTTTTTTTGTTTCAAAACATGGTCAAGATATTAAATAGGGCAAATATTATTTACGAATTTAAATGCACATTAAGGAATTGTATTCCTGATCACTCAAAATTCGTAAATAATTATATAGGCCACACCACAACATGTTTGACACACAGACTCACTCTACACTTTTCTGACCATAGCTCATTTAAATATTCACGGAGACCTACCGGACACTATTCGTAACATACTTGTTGACAACACTAATATAATAGCATCATCTACATGCAAAAAGAAAGGCTAAAAATAATGGAAGCCTTATTAATAAAAACAAACAAACCAACACTTAATAATATTTTTGAACATGGACATAATATCTTGACCGTGTTTTGAAACAAAAAAAAAATGAAAACATTTTATAAAACATACATACAACAAACTATTTCTAATTTTAACAGTTAAAATATAATCCTTGAAAAATGGCTAATGTATAAAATAAAAAAGCGCCGGAAAAAAAAAATTCCGACAGTTTTTATATAATTTATCATCCAAAAAAAAAAAATTATTAGATCGCATGAGAAATTGTATAAAAAAAACTAAATAAAAGCACCTTGTCTGTCATTTTCAATGAAATGTGCATATATATATATATATATATATATATATATATATATGCGCACACACACACACACACACACACAGGGCACTATGGGTAAATTGTCGCTATTTCATATTTTTAATTTCAGGCATGTGTACCGTTTGTTTTTGACTTTGTCAACTGCACAGTATAGTACGGTCAGTGGGGCATCATCTGTAAGAAGAAGAGCACCATGACACCACCAGAAACAGCATGCTGTACTGCTTGGCATTCACGCTGGAAGCTCCAATACGAACATTTTAGAGTGTTTGGCATCAATATGATGACAGTGCAGCAGATTCAGAAAGAGTTGGATGAGTCTAATGGTGATTACAAAGGTACAGCAGCTCAGAAAACTCACTCTGATCATTCTGATAAGAAAAGATCTTCCAAATTTGTTAGTCAGGGCCTAGGACTCAACATAGAGGCCTACAGCAACTGCCTTGAGGAGGTAGTGCTATCCTGGCCAAGAGGGTGGCTGCTGGAAGACCCTGTATCTAACAACAGGACTCTGCACCATGCCACACAAGCAGGAGAACCCTTCTCATGGCTGTCACACAATTTCTGTAACTACAACACCCTTTACATCTGGCCACCTAACCCCCCAGATTGCAACCCCTTTGATTACTATGTGTAGGGTGCAGCTGAATGAGAGACTAACAAAACTCCTTGTAACACAAAAGATGAACAAAAGTCAAGGATTATGGCAGCATTTACCAATTTAAACAAGGAGACCATACAGAAGTGTTGCAGGAGATTCCAAAGTTGTCTGAAAGCTGTTATTGAAGACAATGGCAACTTTATCGAATAAATTTACTCTGTATTTCAAGATATTTTGTGTAATTTTGGTAAATATATCTGTTAAAATGAGATGTCAGTGTTATTTTCATTTTGTGTAATTTATATTACAATATAACCATCGTTATATATATATATTATATATATATATATATATATATATATTATATATATATATATATATATATATATATATATATATATATATATATATATATATATATATATATATATATATATATATATATATATATATATATATATATATTATATATATATATATATATATATATATATATATATATATATATATATATATATATATATATATATATATATATATATATATATATATATATATATATTATATATATATATATATATATATATATATATATATATATATATATATATATATATATATATATATATATATATATATATATTATATATATATATGCTCACTGAAAGTCTGTGATTTTAAACCCATGATTTTATAATTGATTAGCACTTTTTTATTGCAATGACATTTCATGCTCTCTGCGATAGCATGGTTTTAGGGATAGACTGCATTTTCAGTATGCAGCTTACTGAAGAATCTCCTAATTTAGCAAAAACTTTTTTTCATCTGTATTTGCAGGAAATACAAAAGGCTAAAAACACCTTAGTACTCACTCTTTTCTCGTTCCTTTCTGTATTGGATTGTGATTCTCCGTCAACTGATAATTGATGCAACATAAGATTGAGAGGTATTTCTTAATCTGTCAAAAAGGAAAAAAAAAAAAATACGAACATTCAAGTAATGGACACAAAACCTACAGAAAAAAGGTTCAATAGTCAAGACAAAGTAACTATAGACATCAATATCGTAAACACCTGAGACATGATAGCTAAATTTTCATATTGTTTCATGGACTGAACACCTGTCATATATTTGCGAACACTGTATATTTCTAGTAGTAATTGAAGATTACTATGAAAAAGCTACTTGAAGCTAATTAAAATTTGATTAACAAACAAGAAAGAAAGAACTATTTGAATTTCTTAGCCAAAGTATTTTTAATTTTTCACTAATTAAGCCTGGAAAGGCATTTCTGAATAGGATCAGAGTGAGTTCTACCTGGGGACCAGAGTATCCATACATTCATCATGGAGGCCAGAGAGCATCCATGCATTCTGCAGGGGACCAAAAGCATCTGTAGATTCTGATTGGGAATCAGAACATCTGTGCATTATGCACTGGAACAAGAGCATACATATGTTCTACCTGGGGATCAGAGTAGCCATGCATTCTGCCCAGCAGACCAGAGCATCTGTACATTCTGCCCAGGGACCAGAGCATTATCCTCACAATCTTCACTTCCTACCATCTTCACTCTTATCTCACCTTATTCAGCATAACCATTTTAACATTAACCCTCTACATTGACTGGCTCCCGAGCCTTGTATTTGGTGAACTTTAATATAAAAAAAAAAAAAAAAAACTTCTATTCATGCAAACCCTGAAATAATTCCAGCCTTAAATCTCTAACTTTCCCTGTATCAATTATTTTATTTTTTAGACTCAAGTTTCCCCCCCCCTCATTCAAATATCACTTCATTGTTCATTTGAGGCCTGCCGCATCACACATGGGAAAAAAAGTTTAATTCAGCAAAGGAGAGAAGTCGACTTACGAGTGCCGATAAAGTGAACGTGTTTCCAATGCCCTCACAGTACAAGTCCATTGTGTCATGGAAAGACTGGGCAAGAACGTAGGACACTGACATTGCCAACCAGGGAAGATTGAACTCGCTGAGAACAAGATCGAATTTGGAGAGGTCTTCTTGGCAGCCATCTGCAAAAATCAAAAAGAATTTTCTTTTTCAGGAGTGAAACATGGCCAGCCATTTATTTGCAATGAGGTAGTTTCCATTTAAGCTTACAGATCTACGGGAGCATTCAATTCAAGAGATATTTATAAATCATTAGCTAGATTTAAAACAACAGTTAAACCTTACTTTATACAGGGTGAAGCAGAAATAACCATCCTTTTCACACACTGTTTTTTTTTTGCAGGCACAAAAGTTAAACATTGCCAAAAGTTTTTTTTTTAAATTTTGTCATTCAGTTAGCCACTATTAATTTGATATACCATATATATTTATATATATATATATATATATATATATATATATATATATATATATATATATATATATTAGGTGTATTTCTAAAATAAATCCTAAAATCACCTTCATCCCTACCATGACGGTGTGGCTTAATGGTTAAAATGAGAACTGACACCAGTTCAGTCGGGTTTCGATCTAGCTAGAGGCAACCAGATGTCTAGCCACACTGATGAGCTGTGAAACAGCGAAACAGTCTGTCTGTGGATGACGCTATATTGGCTCCTGAAAAATTAATTTCAGTTGAGCTCTCTGGGAAGGAGGTGTGGGTTGGTAAACAGTGACTATTATAGCTATATAGCGAGACTCTTCGCTAATACGAATTGAGTCACTCCCAGTCACTGGGCGTATTTCTAAAAATAAATACGCTAAAAATCCACCTTCATCCCTACCGTGCACCGACGGCTTAATGGTTAGAATCTCCGAATGACACCAGTTCAGTCGGGTTTCGATCCTAGCTAGAGGCAACCGGATGTCTAGCCACACTGATGAGCTGTGAAACAGCAAAACAGTCTGTCTGTGGATCACACTATATATATATATATATATATATATATATATACACACACACACACACACACACACACACACATATATATATATATATCATGTGACTTTTGAAGACCTAATTTTGAAGCTAATTTTAAAGAGGTCACATCTTACATGAGATATAAAATTAGCGTATGTACTGCTAACCCTGGCTACACCACTGACCAAACTATATATCCATTTACTGTCATCAAAAAGTACAGCTGTATTTAAAATAAACATGATTTTGATAAAACTGATGTTTTACTTAACTGTATCCAATAATAATGCATATAATATTCATGTATTAGTATCGTATTATAAAATACAAACATAGCGAATGTGCATCTTTATCCATTGTTCTGATACTATTACCATTCTCTTTTACTTTTTTAACTAGAAGATGAGATAAAGAGATAGAGGAAAAAATGTTAGTCTATTGTAATTCCATCTCTCAAAAATGGAACTTGCATGATAATGAGATACATGATAAAATCATTTTTCATAAGTGAAAATTTTGGGTCACACATTACACAATTATATACAGAGTGTATGTGTGTGTGTGTATATATATATATATATATATATATATATATATATATATATATATATATATATATATATACACAATGAAATGGACCAAAAATTATTTAATATATTTTCTGTTTAGATTTTATTTTAATAGATACAATTTATTTAACTGCTTGTTTAATTAAAACAGTATTAATTACATTTAACAGCCTGAATGTTCAAGAAATTTCATAGAAAACGTGTTCTCCGACAGGAATCAAACCTGTGTCTTATACAAAACCGTCATTTGATCTGACATGCTGTATCCACTTTATTATATATATATATATATATATATATATATATATATATATATATATATATATATGTTTCAGACAGTGTTAACTGACCCTACTATACTGTGTAGTCAACAAAAATCAAAAACAAACAATGTGCATGCATGAAATTAAAAATGAAATTAATGAAATGGCAACAATTTATACATGGCAAGCTATATATATATATATATATATATATATATATATATATATATATATGACAATGGATATATTTATCAACATATATGACAAGAAATTCAAATATATACATATGTATTTCACACACACACACACATTATATATACATGCATACACACACATTATGTATGTAAACATATGATACGCACATATATACACACATTACAATATGAACATACATATATGCACACACACACATTACAATATGTGCATATACACATACTACAATATGCACATACACACACACAAGTTACGCACATACATATACACATATATTGATATGCACATATATGCGCACACATATTATGATATGCACATACATACATATATACATGTCCAAATTCTTATTAACCCTTGCTCTACTCCATCAAATACCATGGCATACCAGCAACAACAAGAACCTTTTTAATCAAGATTGCTGGTGATGTGACCGAGTGTAGTAGGAGAACACAAGTTCATGCCTTTCCCAAGTGAACCCAAGTGGCAGCCTCAGCTGAAATTCAAACTTGTTTAGCCAATTCTATTTTTTCATATTACTACCCATATCAATACTGCATACCACCTTCACGTATACACACACACATCCTCCCATATATATTTTACGTAAGTCTGCAAAGTGACTAACAATAGATTTCTTTGCCAAGTTCATGAATGAAAAGGTTGAGCTTCATTCCCTGGAGCGGTAAACTGAGGTAGTCTTTGAGGGAAGAGTTGACAGGCAGACATGTTTGACGCAGATATTCAGCCACCATTGAGATCAGGCTCAGTACCAACGAAAGAACTTCTTTCTGGAAATAAAGCAGAACAAAATTCATTTAATAATAAACTTAAAATGGTAACATTGCTCTATGACACATCAACACCTTTAGAATTTTTGTTTTCAAAGTAAATTTTAACAGTTTATAGTTTAAATCCAACATTCTCATTATTATTCTGACAAGAAAAGAACACGGCAGTACCTCCTCAAGTGCCTTGAGGAGGTACTGCTGCCCTGGGTCAAGAGTGTGGCTGCTAGAAGACTATGCCTGGCAACAGGACTGCACCATGCCACACAAGCAAGAGAACCCAGTCATGGCTGTCAGACAATTTACGCAATTCCACATCACCCCTTACAGCTAGACACCTAACTCCCTAAACTGCAACTCCCTTGATTATTACTTGTGGGGTGTATTTGAGCAAGAGATCAACAAAACTCCTTATAACACCAAAGATGAATTGAAGTCAAGGATTATGGCAGCATTCACCAACTTAAACAAGGAGACCGTCCAGAAGAGTTGGAGGAGATCCTGAAGCCATTTGGAAGTCGTGGTTGAAGCCAATCACAATTTTATTGAATAAATTTACTCTTTAGTATTTCAAAGATATTTTTGTGTAATTTTTTGTAAATATATCTGTGAAAATGAAATGTCAGTGTTATTTTCATTTTTGCATAATTTAGACACAATTAATCCATTGCACTAATCAACTTAGTATTTCAAACAGTACTCGGGTTGGTTAATTTTTGTGCAAGAATTAGTATTCATGTTACTTTTGGCTTACAGCCACATCACAGTGAAACACCAGTTCCCTTACGAACACTGCAGTTAAGCAACGCCACACCTGGTCAGTACTGAGATGGGTGACCACTTAAAAATACTAGATACTGTAAACTTGGATGTTTGGATGGTATAACGATCTTACAGCCATATGTTGAAAAACCAGTTCTCATCTGATCACCGAAGTTAAGCAACATCAAGCCTTGTCAGTACCTACATGATCACTTAGGAATACCAGGTGCTTTAAGTTTGGATGTGCAGGTGGTGTAAGGGATAATGGCTCAGAAGTGTTAATTCTCCTTGCAGCTATGGGTTTTGTAACACTAAACCATTATTATCTCCCCAAGAAAAAAAATTATTACAAAGTATTTTCTGGCTTTAAATAACCTGCAAAGGGTTGATAAACATGAGAAAAATCAATCAATCAAGTTGCTTAGATGGTGGTTTAAATTTTATATGTAAGAATAAGAAAACAGAAACATTATTAAAAAACAAAAACAATAAAAGAAGAGTAATCAGGAAGTAGTAGATAATAATATTGCATTTAAATTTTTGAAAATCAAAGTTGGCTGGAAAGCATGGAGCCAGAAAAGAGTTCCACAATCAAGAAGTGCAAGAAAAAAAAAAAACTATTAGTATAGAAATTACAGTTGCATCGAGCCAATTCAACTATAAACTGATGAAACCCCATTGCTTATCTAGTACTGCACTTAAGTTCATAAAGTCTAAGTTACCATAGCAAAGAGTTCATCCAAACAATTACCATTTAGTAGAATTCTTGAATACAGTATAAGATATTTAGTAACTCTTTACTTAATGTAACAATTTCCTTTTTTTCCATTTTTTTCTTTCTTTTGAAACGTAATATTAGTATTGTCTGATAAGAATACAAAATTAAATCTTTGATACATAAAATTACAGCTTATTCTCATCAGGATTTTTTGGTTGGTTAGTTAGTTTTGTTTAGTGGCATATCAACCTCTATAGGTTATGTAATGCCAAAATCTAAATATTTGAATTTTGGTTGGTTGGTTTTGTTTAGTGGCATATCAACCTGTATGGTTTATTTAATGCTGAAATTTAAATATTTTGAACACAATTTTATGGCTTCAATTAAATATGTTTTGAACGCAATTCTATGCCTTCAACTACAGATATGTTTGGTTGGACATTTTACTATAAAAAATATATTGTTGGTTTTTTTTATTATATATATTTTGATAATTTTCATATATAAAAGAAGTATTACTGGTATTTTTATACTTTCATAGTGTTTTGTTTAGAGGGTGCACTATTTACCCATAGCTGGGACACTAAGAGTTGCTACGACCCCAGGTCAGGCTGGACCTGGGAACAACAGCAATTAAGAGGTGGTTCCATGCTCCTCAAAACCTCGAATCTCCTAATCAGAGGCCTTGCTGTTGGATGTAGTTTATCATTATACGCAGAACTCATTCCCTTCAGGACTTCATAAAATTAACATTAGGCATGTGGGTATGTTCAGGGAATTTAAACAAATAAATATTCAATATTTTTCTCACAAAAGATGTGAAGGACTCTGCCTCCCCACTTGGAGGTAAGGTATTCATAGAATTTCCTCTTATCTGTTTGTCTTGCATGTTTATATCCGAAGTTCAATGAGGTCAACTTCCCGTTTTATGTTGGAACAGCCATTGACATTAAATAAGGCCCAGTTCTACACTTGGTGGCTCTGTGGATGGCTTCTAGGTGAACTTTCTGAGGCACCTATCTCTTTTGATGTTCTGATGTGACACCAAGCATAAAGCTTACTTTCATGTCATAGGGTGAGCCCACTACATACTGCGGTCACCACATATCAACTCCTCTTAGATGAAAAGGTTCATAATTGAGATTAAATTCAATTACGACTGCTTATATTTCTGTGGGGTGAATCACATACTGCACTTTTTGGCACTACTTAAATAGACTGGCCCACTCATAAAACAGAAAAATTTTGGGGAAATAATTTTTGTAGATTAGCATTTGTTAGATATTCGCCAGGCAATGATATTTGTTAGAATAAAAAAAAAATACAAATTTTTTTTTTTTTTTAATCAATTTAGATCCCGTTTTTAATATGGATACAGTGTAAAATTGATTCCTGACTTTTTAGAAGTTATTGAACTTAGCTGTCAAATGTCAAGTTTGAAATTGTCTTTACATAATTGATATCTGCATTTTTTTTTTTTTTTTTTTTTTTTAAATAATTTTTCAAAACATTTTTTGTCAGGGGTATTTTTTTGGAAACAAATGCTAAATTATTAAAATATATACTGTTATTAATTTATGTAAATATTTGTTCTTCAATTAAAAATGTATATATCTGTTCTTTATTTAAAAGAAATTCTTTTGTAAGAAAAAAGAAAAAGTTTGTTTTTATACACAGAACAGTCCAATAACTGTAAAAAAAAGTCAGGGATTGATTTTATATTCTATTGAGGTTATAAACAGGACCCCCACTTCTAAAATTTTTTTTTTTTTAACAAATCAATTTTTTTTATTCTGACAAATGTCGTGTTTTGAGGAAGGTATTCTTGTTCTTTTATGTTCCATGTCCCTTCAGGAGGGTAGGCAATCATGGCTCTCCATTACCTCCTGTCTCTTGTAGCTTTCAATAAGCTTTGACTTTTTATTTCTCTCAGACCCTGTTCTACCATCCATCTGCTCAAGCCGGTTAAGTATGTTATGTATTGCTTTCCCTTGTCCATCTTTCCCTCTATCCGCCCTGTGAGTATCAGATTTTCCAAGCCTTCCTTTCTCATTACATATCCCAGAAATTTCAGCTGCTTCTTCCTAATGTTAAGTATATTTTCTTTTTGTTTGCATCCTCTCCAAAACCTCACATGTTCAGTCCATGGTATCCTCAGCATCCTTCTGTAGAACCATACCTCTGCTGCCTCAAGTCTCTTCTTCATCTTTGAGGGCACCATCCAACATTCACTGCCATAAAGGAGGACATATACCATGTAGCAGTTCAGCACTGATTTTTTTGTTATGAACAAAACCCTCCTGTCTTGTAATACTCTGCCTAGCTTTTGGAATGCATCTTTGGCCATCCCAATACATTTTCGGATCTCAGCATCGCACTTACCGTTCCCTGTCAGAACACTTCCCAGGTATTTAAAAAAAAAAAATTTTCCCTATTTTTTATGAATGGACCAGTCTACTTAAGTAGTACCCACTTTTTTTTTCTTTCTTTTAAATCTCAAGTTACTTAAGCCATTCTGATGTCAGTGGTGGAGTTCCTTAAAAATCAGTCAAATCTGAGTACAGTTGCTTATATGGAAAATAAACATTGCATTTAAAGTGCATGTAATTCACACTCTTCAGTCAAAAGTTTTGTATATAAGTGAATCGTTGAAAAGGGTCTTCTTCTATTGAGCTTTTGTCAATCCTCTGACATGTCCACTGCTTTTCCATTTTCTTCTTTCTTTTGTCACCTTTCCTCGTAAAAGGTGCAGTGGAGTCTTTGAAGAGAGAGTGAATTTCATCAGAAGCACTACTATCCTGATCTGAACTTTACAAATATAGCATCTCCTCTCCAATTGAAGAACTTAGTCTCGGACAGTTGCAGTTGGAGTCAGCACAAGAGATTGTACAAGAGATATTGCAAATGCAATAATTAATTATGCATACAAGTAAAAATAAAAAAAAAAAGGAAGTGTTGAAACAAGGTATTACAATAAAAGAGAGACAAAACTGTGTGTGGAAAGGGGCTTCCTTGAGATCTCTGCGGATAAGTAGTAATCTTAAATCAAATTCAATTACATACTTCATCACCTGCAACGTCCAGAAACTCAAGAGAGTGTCTGACCACCTGTTTGCATGTTTTTTTTTTGTTTTATCTATGTCAAAGGCATTTGGTGCTGATAGATTTAAAATCAATCTAAATAAAAACCCATAAGTAAAGCCTCAGAGAAATCTTTCAGACCATCCAACAAGAAAAGGGGTTGTTTCAAAAATAGAATAGCCGAGCCTTGCAAATATAAACATTCTGCTTGGCATTACATATCCAGCATCTCTCCTATAAAAACTATCGCACTTATCAGCTATTGTGGCATGTGGGGGGGGTCCTTACTTTTCTCGATTCAGCAGCAGTGGAAATAATCACCATGGTACAACCTAAAGTCCCTGTGGTCATAATAGCCTTGACCGAACCCTATTCGGCCTCTTTTTCACTTTCTATTTCAGCAGTCTCTCCCTTTGAGACACCTATCAAAGGGCTCCATGCAAACCTCACTAGAAAAGACAAGGCCTGCAGGAACCAGCAGAGAAATCTCCCTTCGAAACACACATGCTTATACACTATGGGTGGAATAGGATCCTTAAGACTAGGTGATTTTCCAGATGAGATTTACCTGATGGAGTCAATTACCTCTTGATAGGTAGGTTCAAAAGACAACTCTGGAATTTCAGGATTTTGCTCAATTGATGTGATGGCTTCCTCATCAGTAACCGAAGTGGTGTTTAACACAGTTTCAAAATGCTCTTTCCAGCGATTTAAAATGTCTGACTTATCCGTCAAGAGAGTTTCACCATCTGCTGTGGAGATAGGAGCAATAACACTTTTCTGAGGACCGAAAATGCTCTTGAGGCCAGCATAGAAAGCTTTTAGATCCTTTCTATCTGAAGCTTCTTGGAGTTCAGTGGCCTTTTCAGACCACCAATGCTCTTTCATGGCCCTGAGAGCTCATTGAAAAGGAAACTACGCCAAACCCTTGCTGCAAAAGAAAGGGTCTGGCCAAGCAGTTTCACATTTGGATTTCTCATTCCTCCCGTGGGAATTAGCAAAGAAATCTCTCTCAAAAAAAAAACAATTACAACACTCTACAACATTGTTAAGTGGCAACACTCTTCTTTTGCCCCCCAACCCTACCCTGGAAAATACTGTAATTCCCCATGTATAATATGCATTTTTTTATAAAAAAATAATAAGCTAAATTAGGGGTGCATATTATGCACAGATACAAAAAAAACTTTTAAAAAATTGCCATTTCATAGGTCAATTTCATTTGCAAAATGATTACTCACCACAAACATATGACAATTTGACACTAACATTCAGTGATTGCGACCCCATAAGGATGTCAAATACAATCATATATACCTAACAATACTTACAAATATAAAATAAAATAAGAATTATCATAAAACTAAATTAGAATAATATTCTATACTTAAAGCCATTTATTTTAATAAGAGTAGGAAACACTGACCATAATGAAATTGGAGAAGTACAATTTATAGGGTTTGATTACGAAACAAGGGGTGCATATTATGCATGAGTAGAAGCATTTTCCCACACTTTCAGCACAATTTTAGGGGTGCGTATTATGGATGAAGGCATATTATACATGGGGAATTATGGTCCTGCTATTTTGCACTCCTTTTTCAACCAAATAAAAGCTGTTTGAAGAGTCTTATTTAAGCTTTTGGGTTGTTTGTTTATTCCACTCACATTTCAGAGCATAAACCACATATATGACTGGGGAAAATTCCTTCAACTGGAAAACATAGCCTCAGACAGGTGTCGCCACTAGAGATTACTCATGCAATCATTAAGAGTTTTAAAAAGAAAAAAGGAGAGTGAGAGAGAGAAATTAAACAAGTTAATAAAATTATCTTTCCTGCTTATTCAGTAGCTGATTATTTTTATTCAAAGTAAAAAGTAAGTCCATTAAAACATACTCACTCTGTATAATTCTGGAAGATCTACATTAAGGACTTTGCGTAGAAAGTCCTTCAACTCCGTACATGATTTATTGACTGTCTGCCCATAACTGGAGCCCCACATGACCGATTGTAATAGGCATGGGGGCACTTTGATGCCTTCATTATTGGCATGTTGCTTCCGGCTGGGATTAAAAGGAAAAGAAATTGATTAGTTAAAGAATTAAATCCATGTCATAATTTAATACACCTTATAATTCTTTCCACTATTTACATTGCTCGGACTGATGAGGACAACAGTCTGAACAATGTAAATAGTGTAAATAATTACAATATCGCATCTCAGAAATATAGACAGAACCTGAAGAATGCCGGAGCATACAACGGCCAAAATGTTATGAATATGGCACCAAAGATGAGGACAACAGTACGAACAATGTAAATAATGTAAATAATTACAATATCTCAGAAATATAGACAGACATGTTATAATTCCTAAAAGGCTTCTTTTTTTTTTTAATGTTTTTAAACCTTCCTCGATCATATATACTGTCTGAAAATGATCTAACTATTATTTAATATTAACAAAAATGTCACCTACCTAGGGATATAGAATCTTAGACCTTTCAAAATAATTCCAAAGGAATATCACACACTTATCACTTTCCCTTTTTCAATCTGCAAAGTTCTCTTTCAGGATCAGTATATGCTGCCAAATCACAATCACCTTAATCTCGCCCATGGTTTAAAATATTTTTCCTTTCAACTCATTCTGTCAGTTGGTGGTCAAGAATACTACATTGCTCCACCAAAAATGGACACTTGTTTCCTGTACTTATGTCTACCAAATCTTTATCTATGTTTCAAATGTTTTTCAGAATGACAGAATTCAGCATTGAATAATCTGGAAAAGGTTGATATGCCACAGAAAAGCAACAAACCAATCCTTCACTTTTAACAGGGGACCATAATCCAGAGGGTACATTGCTAACAGACATGGATGATTCGAGTATTTGCCAATAACCATGCATGAGACATGATGAATCTACTTAATAAGTCATTGTAAATGCAACAATCATGCAATATACATGTTCGCTCAATGGCACCTCACTGCTGACTGAGTAACAGCATGAGAGTGTTCATGCATGCACAGTAAGGTCCCCTAAGATTGGTTGCCAATTTATATGAAGGTCGCACAACCAGTTATCAAGATATTCAAAA